CACCCCCTACATTGGCTTGGTGCATTCTAGGAAATTAATTTCCTTGAGTGTTAGCCGCAAGACTTGAACTCTAATATTCTATTTCTTGGGCATCTATCATTTTTGTTTTATTTTTTTCATTGTCTCTGAGTGTTTTTCTTATACTGTTTTCATAGAATGAAGCACACTTCACCATCCCTTTTTGCCTTTGGTGGTACTAAAGATGTAATCTTTAAAGCTATGTCTGTCATATTTAGAAGATAAGAAGATGTAATAATGGAATTAATTCAAAAATTTTTTGTTGAATTCTTTTACATTTTCTTTTAAACAATAGCATCTTGTATGTGGGTCCCACTGGTGGAGCCTCCAGGTGAGAAAGTCATTGTGCACACACAATGCACATATATACTTGGCAAGTAGTGCTGTGTAATAGCACTAGGTAATTATTAAGTAGCCTTTTTGGCAGTTTCTCTCCTGTCATCTGGAGCTGGCTCCTTAAGTCAACATTTCTGTTATGGTGTCATGTTTATTCTTTTATGAACTCCATTCTGCTATATTAGAGGTATATGGAAGTGCTCATTTTTTTCATTCTACTTTTCCATCCTTGACATAATGCAGGGTGCACAGCTTAGAAAGCAGATTGATGCCACTTTGGGCAGTGGAAATCTTAAGGAAGCCGTAAGACTACCACCTGGGGAGGATTTAAACGAGTGGCTTGCTGTCAACAGTAACACCATCTATCTCTGATATTCTTGACTCATTTCTTCAGCTGCATATATGATTTATTTCCATGAATTTCATGTTATTCAATATTTAGTGTGGCTGCTTTTATGTGGGAGTTCTTACGTTAGCTCATTATCAAATATTTCAATACCTTTTCTTTTCCTATATCTAGATTTCTGCCAAATTTTGTCTGAAGTTTATTGCTGAAATATGGTTGCTTGATCTTTCAATTTCAGCTGTGGATTTCTTCAACCAGGTGAACCTGCTCTATGGTACCCTCACAGAATTCTGTACCCCTGAGAACTGTCCTACAATGACTGCAGGCCCCAAGTATGGATATTAAATCAACCTTGTTTCCATATCAATATGTCTTTGTAGATTTCATCTTTTTTGCTTGATTAATCTTTATATTTACCAATCTCTATATGCATCATACAATTCATGCCAACCAAAAAATTCAAGTCAATTTGCTAGCCATCACTAAATAAATTTGTCATATTTAAAGAATATTTACACACATTTAATATAAAGTATCAAATCTGACAGTTCTATTTATGAAATGTATTATAATATACTAGCTTTTATGAATGTTTGCAAGCTTTGGTGTTTGGTTCAAATAACTTTGAACAGAGGACCCTTTCCCCAAGTTCATTTATCTTTTCTTTTTATCTTTTGCACTTCAATGTTTGCCTGCACTAGTCAATAAGGATAATAAACAAGAAAAAAAAAAATCAGTGTAGTAATTGCATATTCAGCTGCTTATCCATATTATCTTAGCCTTTGACTGCTCTTTCTTTTTTAACACTTTATACTTCTATATATTGTTTCTTTTGGAGATCAAAATTTGATGTCATAAACAACTTTTCAGGTATGAATATAGATGGGCAGATGGTGTGCAAATCAAGAAACCTATTGAGGTTTCTGCTCCAAAATATGTTGAATATTTAATGGACTGGATCGAAGCTCAACTTGATGATGAATCCATCTTTCCTCAGAGGCTTGGTAATATATTCATCTAATGCTTGACAATCTTCAGTTCCTTCCAAAAAAGTTTGAACTATCGCTGCTAGCTCTAGAATAAAATGGCTGATCATATATGATAATTTTGATGAAAATTGATGGTTAATTTTTTTTGTAGGTATACCTGTTAATGTGGTGTTAATGAGGATTTAAACTATTTTGTTTTGTACCTGTGCTGAGTATATCCCTACTTTTTGCTTGCTTTCTATTTGCTAGGTGCACCATTTCCTTCCAACTTCAAGGAGGTTGTGAAGACAATATTCAAAAAACTGTTCCGCGTATATGCTCACATATATCACACTCACTTCCAGAAAATTGTGAGCCTCAAGGAGGAAGCTCATTTGAATACATGCTTCAAGCATTTCATACTATTTACCTGTGTAGGTCTCTTGTCCTGTTGTCATTTTTATATCATCCCAGTTGTCATGATTCTACTTATTACTTCTCTGCCTTGAAATTATTTCTTGGTAAAAGATGGATTTCTGTACCATCATCTCATTTTCTTTAATTCACTCTATTGTGTGTCTAGCATCAACCCTCCATTCTATCTTGGAATAATACCATCTTTGTGGTTGGATATTTCGTTCGGTAGTCATTGAATGCTAATTTTTTCACTTAAACTGTCTTTATGTGCAGGAATTTGGGTTGATTGACAAGAAAGAGCTTGCTCCACTTCAAGAACTTATAGATTCGATTGTTGTTCCCTACTAAACTTGGCTTTGGAGATCCTGAAGAAAGGATTTATTTTAGGGAATGTAATAAAATTATACTGTTCTAATATGTTTTGGTATAACTATTTAAATATTGGTGTTTCTCTGTTATAAAATGTAATCTTATACATCTATATGTGCTTCATGGGCCATTAAAATGTGAAAAGCAATGGTATATGAAATTTGCTTTGCTTCAGAATTGTTAGGGATTCTTGTAAAATTGTCTCAGCTATATATGGACGTGCTGTCTGTTGCTGGTTTTATGTTTTAAACAAGAATATCATCCAAGCGGAAGCTTGGCCGACACAATTGTATCATTCTTTAACTCAACTAGAACACAGGATCAAAGCAAATTTATTATACCAGTGCTTTTCACATAGAAATCACAACAGTTTTGGGAAAAACAAATTCTAAATGTGGGTATGTATTATATCATCACAAAAATTTCCTGATTATTTTATTTTACCGTCAACTTCAAAATTTCCTGATGTCTTTGGTGATATGATGTTGGAAATGTTAGCTGCTAATAAGTTACATCCATTACAGATGAAAAAAAATGCCTCCTTAGGAGGGCTGAATAAATGTAAATAGATACCCTGCATACCACAATGTTAATCGCGACTCAACCCATCCCGAGCTACATGCATGCTACTAAGATCAGAATTCTCATATCTTGAGGCTGCAAAAACATATGATCCCACAACAGCAACAAGAACACCGAGGGTCAGAGCAAAGAGCTGAAAGTTAGCAAGCAACTCCCCTCGAATCTCATTGTCAGCTGAATGGCATATAATTGAGTTTCCCTTAAGTTGACAACCGTATGGCATCATGGGACCATAAAGTGTGAAAGCAGTCTGATAAAACCAGAGACCTTGGAGAGTTATGGCAATTCCGCAACACAAATCAACTGGGAAGCTGGTTGGGAAGAGAGCTCCTCCTACAGCACTTAAGATGCAAAGTCCAATAAGGAGGACAAGAAGGAGATGGTAGTACCCTTCAAGGCCTTTATGAGTTGTTGAGTGAAAGTAGAACAGCAGGTACTCTGCACAGAATGCTGCGGCAGCAATCAGGCAAAGGGCTTCGTGTGGTAAGGGAACAAAACTGAGCAAGAAGAAATTTGGAAGTAGGGAAATAGTCAGCAATTGTCCTTCCATTTGTATAAAACTAGCATATAAATTTTTAAATTCAAAGCCGATCAAATAGAGCAACCTCATTCTACATCCCTGGGAGGATAATTAATTAATTTGATAGCACTGGCAAAAATTGACCTCTTTCCTTTCCTTTGTCATACAGAAGCAATATGGGATCATTTTATATATATATATATATATCATTCTACATCCCTGGGAGGATAATTAATTAATTTGATAGCACTGGCAAAAATTGACCTCTTTCCTTTCCTTTGTCATACAGAAGCAATATGGGATCATTTTATATATATATATATATATATAGATAAAAGTATGCAAAACAAATCAAAACCTTAA